AGCCGACTTGTAGTGTTCTCCCTCCTCGGTCGTATGGTCCGCTCGAATTATTCTCTTTCGCTGTATGCATTTTTTAAGTGATTCAGTTATTCAGGCAGACTCTCAGGTTCACATATTCGTCGTGCTCTCTCAACGAACCTTTCAATTTCCCCTCTCTCATGTTGTGGATGGTGATTCGAGTTTTTGTTCAGGTATCTGTCTGTGTGCGTTGGTTTTTTATACACTTGAAGGCTCAGTGTACCGTCTTCACATCTGCTCACAAGAATATCCAAAAAGGCTAGAGTCCCTTCGGTTTTTCGTTCCATTGTTAATTGGATTTTTGGGTGGAGCGATTTGAGATGTAATAAAAAAATCTGTTAGTGTATCTTCCCCATCTTGCCATATCATGAACGTGTCGTCAACATAACGTAACCAACAATATGATTTCTAGGTCGCTTGCTCTAAGGCCCGTTGTTCGAAATTTTCCATAAAAAAGTTTGTTACTGCCGAACTTAACGGACTGTCAATTGCAATACCGTCCGTTTGTTCGTAAAACATACCATCCCACTGAAAATAGGTTGATGACAAGCAGTGTGCGAAGAGAGCAGTTATATCTGCTGGGGATACTTCATTAATCAGCCGTATCGTTTTCTTGGTCGGCAACATCGTAAATAAGGAGACCACGTCGAAGCTCACTAGTATGTTTCCAGGACATAGCTTCATGTCTCTAATCTTTTCGATAAAATGCCCCGAGTCCTCAATAAATGTATTTCCTATATGAGGTTGCAATAAGGTTGAGAGGCATTTGGCTAGACCATAAGTTGGTGAACCTATCGCGTTTATGTACATTATATCTATGTATTATCGGTAAACCATAAAGGCGTGGCGGAAAGGCTTCGGATGTTTGTATGGCCTTTTTCGTGTTCTCGTCCGTACTGGATGCACTGATGAGAAGATTCGTTCTTCTCAACATACCAGATGTCGGGTCCCGACTGAGTCTGGCTCGAGTAAGGTGGCTACTTTATCCCTATAATTTGATGTTCATCACGAAGGTGGCATTTCCTTTGTCAGCAGTCAGTATTGAGATGTTCTTGCCTGTATTGATACGCCTCTCGTTCCTGCCATGTTATGTTGGCCTTGGGGTTCGCCAACTTATGGACCGGCCAAATACCTGACAACCTCATATAGGAAATACAATAATTAAGGACTCGGGGCATTTCATCGAAAATATTAAAGACATGAAGCTATGTCCTGGAGACATACTAGTGAGTTTCGACGAAGTCTCTTCATTTAAGATGGTGCCGACATACGGGTAATCAACGGCTAATTGACAAAAATGTCAAACAAATGTAGACAGCTGTTTCAGCCTATTGGGCATCGTCAGTACCCAATAGGCTGAAACAGCTGTGCGCGAAACATAAGTGGAACCACCTATTGGTGTGACACCCAAGTCAACTTGACAAGTTTTTATGTCAGTGTTGGTGGTTTGACCAATCAACCGACAACTGCGGTAGCAGAAATTTGGGAAGCTAACCTGAAATGCCATCGGAAAAC